AACTTTGTTGATAAGCTCATAACTAGCGTTTTTGTCTTTCCAAAAAGTTTAACATGTAAACTTTTTAAATCCTAACACTGTATGAATTCTATGGACTGCTTGTGAAAATCATATATACTATGCCCAGAACTGTTACAGTGTTGATAGAGGAAACTTGGGTAATTGTTTTGGGTATAGAACCTGTGACAGTTCATTCTGCCTCTGAAAAATTCTGAAGTTTTGCTTACATAATGAATTCTGCATTGACTGCAGCTAACCAAACATACATATTTAGTGCTGCAATGTAATTTCTGAAAGCCATTTTTAATTTAAATTGTTATTCATGAATGTATTGTTACATACTGTATGGTTACAAGTTAAGCAATTTTTATGAGGTTAGTAACATTTCTGTTCTGCAAAGTAAAGAGTAAATTTACCACACCACTGCCTGGAAGTGTATGACTGACTACTTTTGTAGGCATTATCCTGGAGTGATACTAATTGTTTGAATGATAGCCAATCACATTGTAAGCTATCAACACATAATCATACTCTGGTGCAGTTCATTTTCATACAATATATGGGGTGCAGTCCCATAATATTTGCATTTTATACCTATTTTATCCACTGTTTCTATAATTATTTATAATACAGTGTTGCCAAAAGATCTTTGAGAAAGTTTTTAAAGCACAGTAGTGCAAAAACATATTTAGGTTAGATTAACCTGAAGTTGTATAATTTTTAGTGAATGTTTACATAACTCTATACGTGAATGGATTTATTTAAGTGGTGTTTTATCTTTTAAAGATAAAGAAAATATTGTATCTTTACTGGAAAGAGAAATAAAACTGTGTAAGTAATATATTATTGATATCCAGGGCCAAGAAAAAGGGGGAATACAAAATCTGGAAAGAAGATTCCTGTTGGTGGAATATCTGTATTTGGAGGTGGGTAGCTAAATGAAATTTTGTCTCTGTACATATACATTCCATATTATCAAACATTATTAGGAGAGCACATCCACATCTGCTAATGAGACTGTTCCCATTAAATTCTAGGAGCTATCTTATTAGAACTCTTAAGCAAGTTTGACATTGAAGATCCTGTTCTTCAATGAAGAATTACTCACTAGAGAGGAATGTTTGTGTGAGATGAGCTCCCACATTTTGTGTTTTATCTATTTGAGCAAGGCATTTTCAATCTACATTCAAAGGACAGCAAGGGCACATGCTGGTCTTTAATATGCTGTGCAAGTCAAGAAAATAATTTACTTTGATAGCTGCAGACTGCCCCTCAATAACTTATTGGATATAGTATGCAAAGATCTAAGAATACAGTCAGATTCTTAAACACTGGAGAGAAATGCATGAAATTACTGCTCTTTTTGCATTGTGAAGTTGCCCTATTAGGCTGTTTTGACCTGTAATAAGCATTGCTTCTAGCCATTGGAACAACAAAATGTCTAAAATCACATTCAGGGGTATGTTCAACATCAGTCTCTCAGAATATGCTTTTCTCTTGTATTTATTTATTTGGAGAGTAAATATGTGTATAAAATAAAGTGTTAGGATTTCTTGTATTTTTAAGGTTAATATTGATATTTCCATTGAAAGTAGGTATGCAAAAGTTCTTAATAAAAATTAAACTAGTGGATGAAATTCTTTTAAATTTGAGATGAAAGGTCCTATAAGTATGTAATTTTTTAAAAATAAGATATTTAATTTTGATTTTTTTTTCTAAAGCAATGTTTTTCTCATGCCTTTTTCTTTTCGCACATTCACCAATCCAACATGGAAAGTAATTTTAATTTTAAGATTATAAATACTTTTATGCATCAGAAAATTTTGAAACTTCCCATGTGAAATCTTTATTGTAACAAGATAGTTATCAAATGTTTCTTAAGAAAAAACTTTAGATTTTATCTGTTATTTTCAGTAATTAATCTCTGTACAGGTTGGATAGATTTGATCGATCTCATAACCACCATAAAAAATTAGGAAATATATATAAATTATGCCTCTTTCATTCTAGAATGAACACAAATTATAGCACGAAAACATAAATGTTTAGACTAAATAGCTTAAATCTCATAACATTATACACATATGTATTTATTATTTTTATTATATTGACCTTTCAGCTGTGCCTGGCAAACAATACAGAAGTTACAATGATGCAGTGGAAATGCACTCATGTTATTGTATCCAATAATATAAAACTGCCCTTTATTCTCTACAAAGTAACATGTCTTGGCTGTGTTTTACTAGACTAGTATTTTGTAAAATACAGTCATATTTCAATTATTATACATTATATATGTATATAGATTATTACTATTTACAAATAATTTCTTAAACTTATTTTTCTTAAAACGTAGAACAGTAAATAAAGAAGTAAAGCGAACAATTATCTCTTCTGGTTCTTTTTTTGTACTTGGTTGCTGCTTGTTGTAGCTTCCTAAACCTTAAGAAATTTTGCACGTGAAGGATGGTGAAACAAAATAATTTTTTTAGGTTTTGTATATACACTTCAATAAACAAAAAAAATCATAAATTACTATATTGATACCATAGAATTCCACTGTAATATATGGAGCTTAGTAACTGAGCTATATTTGGGTCTAAAAATATGAAATTTCGAGCAGACTAAAGACACAACCTTCCTCTTTGAAATCTTGGTTTGAAAGAACAATATGGTGTCCCAACACTTTAAAATGGCTCAGAAAGCCACTATGGTGACATTCTTAGCTTTCAATTGGTTATTCACATGTCGCATAATAGAACTATGTATATATAAAAGTCCGTTTCCAAAAATGGAAAGAGGTGAGTGGGACTACTGTGTTTCATTCAGTACGTGAGCGATATCTCGGCAAATAGAAAAGATAGGAGGATCTTATTTTATATTCCAGCTTATCAATATCAGTAATTTGAGTTCTTAATCCATACAAAACTATAGAATTTTTATTTTGACATCACAAATATTTAATTTGAACCGGTGCTGCATTCAACATACCACATGACATACAAAAATTGATGTTTAGGCATGTTTTTTAATATTTGCATTTAAATTAAGAAATTAAATAATATATAATAAAATTTGAATTAAAATCTACAGTTTGATACCAAACTTAACATGTTCGTGGCATAAGTGATTTCTCTAATTATGCAACAGGAATGTAAGGCCTCATTGTGAACTCTGCCTTAGATACAGCTACTTTTATAGCTTTATGTTATGTTTTATGACAGAATGACTACATTGAGAACTTTCTGCACCACCAATGGTACATGATGTCCTGTCTTTTCCAATTAAGCTTTAGCTGTCATGTGCCACTGGTGGTGCACACTATAATTTAAGTAATAATAATAATGAAATCATCATAATATTTAATTTTTTCCTTTTTTTTTCAACCTAATCTTGCCATTTTTTTAGAAGAATTATGAGTATTTCACGTTTTATGGTCGTAAAAAAGGAACATCAGATAAAATAATCCCTACTGTGGATGATAATAGTTCTATCCTTATATTACAGTCTTCTAATTTAAGTTTCAATTAGTGTTTTTTTGCTTCAATTATTCACAATGAAAAATTTAATGCCAATCTCTAGATGTAATTTTAAAATAATAAGTGATTTAATAATATAAATTTGCTTTATTTCAGTTGCCCTTTTAACATGGCAATCGTGCTCCACCAGTGGTACATGATGAAAGGCGTGGCTTTATTATAGCCATTCGTATAAAATAAATGCTTCATAGGGCTTTGGAGATATGAGGTACACCTATACCTTATGGGTGCTGTGTACCACATGTGGCACACGATGTCCAACAGAAAACATGCATATGTACCACTGGTGGCACACGATGTTGTGAACTTGTTAAGGTCATAAATTCATAAAATATTAGTTCAATAAAATTTTAAATGTGAGCCAACAAATGTGATATGGCCTTTGACTCCTTACCCACGTGGAAATGGTTAACCCTTTTACCATGGGCAGGTCAAAGAGCACATGTCATGTAGAGAATTATTTTCAAGATTTTATTAAATAACTTTACTATTACTTATTTCAAATTTTAATATTATATGTTTTAATTTCTTAATTTACAAGGAAATATAGAAAAAAAGCTAAATATTACTTTTTTGTGTGTCACATAGCACTTCCTATTGTGTTATTGCTATATTTATAATATATTACTTCTACCACACAACGTGTGCAGTGGTTGTCAAAAACTTACTTTCTAGTAGTATACACTGAGTGGTCACAAGTAAATAGACACCTAATTTTTCATCATTTAACTGATTTATGCTAACTAATTTGTGTTCAAAGAGCGTTATACAAATGAAAATGGTCCGCACACTAATTATTTTGTGCTACAAC